ATGGACGCGCGTACTTTTAAGACCCTAGACCTCTGAATGGTTTATTTATTGAAATGAAGGCTATTCTTTTTTTTGTGCTTACCTTTGTGCCCTGGCATGTGGCCTTTGTGCCCTAAAACAATGTGTGACACCAAAGACCAAATGGCCTTGCCCCTAAAATGACGAAAATTCAAAATGACATTGTTCTATAAATATATATTTATTTAATGATCTTTTTTTTTTTTTCTTCTTACTCCTGATGGATTCTCTCTATCAGACTCACGATACTCAACCCAGGTGTTTAATATTTAGGCCCATAGTGAATATTATGGTTCCAATAATGTATTTTATTACAGAGAAGTAGCCGTTTTACTATAACTAAACTACTGCACATTCTGCGTCTCATCACTGCATGGTTACTTCTGCTTTCAATTCTTGTGGCTTGAAGCTGCCATTGTGTTTTTGATCGTGCACAACGTCAACCATGTTTTGTTTCTCCTCCCCTCCACCCCTCCTCCCGTCCTCTCCTTCAGAGGTCAGATGCCGGCCCAAGCTGAAATTAACTACCTGAATAAAGCCAAGTGGCTGGAAATGTATGGGGTGGACATGCATATGGTCAAGGTAACTGCCACTCACTCTTTCTCACTAGCATGTACTGTACAACCTGAATTGGAAGTGCCCTCTATGAAAGAGGGGAAGTGAAAAAGAATATGCGAGAGGCTAACAATATCTTCTTTTTTTCCGCAGGCTAGAGATGGCAACGAGTACAGTCTGGGTTTGACACCCACTGGAGTTCTGGTGTTTGAAGGAGAAACAAAGATCGGGCTCTTCTTCTGGTATGTTTGTTTATTTTTCCTTTATTTGTATCCTTAAAAGAAACACATGTTTCAGATTTCATCAATCCTCCCTCTCTTTGTGTTTATTTGTTTTGGACATATGTGTTTTGTAGGCCCAAGATCACCTGTCTGGATTTCAAGAAGAGCAAACTGACTCTGGTGGTAGTGGAGGACGATGACCAGGTGAACACGCACGCGCGCGCACGCACGCACGCACGCACGCACGCACGCACGCACGCACACAGATTCTAGGCATACAGTGGAATGTTAAAAATTCCAAACATGCATTCATTACTCACAGTAATCCCTCTTGACAACATGAATGACCAATCTAAATGCTCCCTACATATTTGATGTAATGATTATAATGAATGTACTGTGTTTACCACACTTAAATCACCCAACGTAAGCGAATTACTAACTAATAGCAGTTAATTATAGATGGTATCATAAGCATTTTAAGCAGGTGTGGACTGTTTCATGCTGAATGACTTATTTCCAAGAAACGTATAAACACATGGAGAAAGTTCGTCAGATCTTTTAATTAAATCAATTTGTCTTTCAGGAAAAACAAAGTGTTAGTGCTGGTCGACTAAGAATGTATTTATTGGGAGACAGCTCTTGTAAGAATATACATATTTTGTTTGTTCGTTGTGTAGGAAGCTATTCACATGGGTCATTCATTACTAATGAGAGATGCACAATTTGAACTAAAGTAACATAATTTATAACAATAAAATATAAAATTATATTTAAATGCTCCAAATAAGGATCTTTTTGTAAGTCTGTAGAATAGGATTAGTAGCCCGGGATATATGTTGCTGTACAATTTAATTCAGAATAATTACTAATATTTAGATTTTACTTATTATT